GAATCGCCGCGATATGCGTATGACGCTTCGGAGTGCTTAACGCTAATATACTATAGGGCGGACGCAGACGGGTGATACTTATTCGCTACGTTAGGCTATACTATACTATACTAGGCTAATATCCTAGTGAAATACTATGCGAGACTAAATGTAAACGCGGTTGACTCGAACGACGGGAGTAGGTCCCTCGGCGTGCCTCCCAACTGGAGGTTCCGAGCAGACAAGCTCCTGACACAAATACGAAATCCGTGTGCGTCCGCGGGAGCGGGAAGTCGGGGTTCTAATTTCCACCGACTGGGTACGAGAGCTGCTGAGCGTGTTACCTTGGCGAAGGCTACGTGTCTTCAGCGCGAAACTCGGAGTGGACGTGATATCCTCGAGAATCGACTCTGCTCTTTCCCGGCTGCGTGGGACGCGGCAGCGAAGCCGGTGGCCGTGTTCGGGGTCGCAGGGTGTAACGTGACGGTTCGTCACAAATATATATAGCATTCCATTTGATACTCTAACTTAAATGAATCTTTTTCACGAGGATGGTTATAGAAATATTATTTAAGTTAATTATTTATTTTAATTATGTAATATTGAATTTCTCAGGAATTATTGTATATGTTGTATATGCAGTTACATTTTCAATATGCATAAATTTTCAAAAAGTGGTCAAGGATATATTAATCTCCAGAGCTGACCGTATTTATTATAGTCTCCATGAGCACAGTGTAGTAAACGATTATTTTTAAACGTGTTACGTGATAATTGTATAAAGATTCAATGTGGGCACAAACGTTCTTGCACGAATTTGTGAAATTTAATGGACCAAAAACGAAGCCTACCCAAATATTTTTTACAGTTTATGACACAAATCATCCCTAAATAATATTTATAGTTGAGAACTCCACTTACTGCTATTTATCTCATTGTTAAATACGTTTCTATTTTTATTTTTCATTTGAAACTTAATGAATGTCTAGTGATCAAGAAAAAACTAACTCTATTGGCCAGATGCTACATTTGTAGATTATTTACGAGCATTTTTTTTATTAATTTGTATATTGCGTGTATCAGGTTTTTATCGTTAAATTTTTTATTCGTATAGATAAGGCAGCGAAACGTAGAGCGCGCACGTAACATGTTGATAGACATTTTTATAGAATTATTTACAACGTGACAAATAATAAAAGTAGAAATTTTATTACAATATGTATATTATGGTACTTAAAAGAGAAATGTTTTTTTCTAACATTTGTATAATTCTACGAGAATAAAAGGAATAAAAAGAGGAGAAACAAATTTGTTTACAAAGTCATTTCAACAGAAAGCAATATAATTTTCTCTCATTCATATGATACGGGGAAGAGGACATCATTACGAAATGGGCTTGCAAATTAGTATCTCGATGCACGTACATTGCATGCATTTAATGTGTTTACATTGTCTTTTATATTGCGTAAATATATATATACATGTATTTATAATTAAAAGTAATACCGTTGTGAAGTAATAAAATTTTTATTGTATCGCGTACATTGTATGTACTGCGTATGCTACATGTTCCTTAAATATACTGTAAACTTTCGTTACTTAGCAACTACTCTGTCATAACACTGCTATACAACTTCGTGTTGAAATCATGTAGTGATCTTTATACTTATCTTTGAAATTATTAAATAAAGATATCTGTATTTCAAAACAATAATTGCGATACTTGGTGTACCATTTATTATTTTTCCTAAATTCCTACATTTTAATCAACATCGATATCGACATTAATTTTTCTGATACACATTTCTAATTTCAATCCTGTAAGAATGGTGAGTTCATCCGTTTCTAATCGTAAATAAAATGAATAAAGTTTCCTTTGTAGCCCTACGAGTTTATTTCTTTCCGCAATTTTTCTAGGGGCCGAAAAAGGCGAAAGCACCTGCCACCGTCGATGGAGCAGACACAACGAAAATGAACAGGGAGCAATTAGAAGTTTACGCTCACAAAATACTTGAAGAGATGGAGCGAGAGCGAGAAGAAAGAAATTTCTTCCAACTCGAACGAGATAAGATCAGAACGTATTGGGAAATTACGAGGCATCAATTGGATGAAGCTCAAGCAACTGTCAGGTACTTTTAAACATTAGTAGAGGAGTCAGTATATTGAAACTTAATTCATGCCTCTTGTTCACAAAGAAATAAGGAACGTGAGAAAGAAGAATTATCGGAGAAACATGACGCAGAGCTCAAATTGTATAAACAGAAAGTGAAGCACTTGATGTACGAGCATCAAAATGATTTGTCTGAAACTAAAGCTGAGCACATGGTTGCTCTTAAACTGGCTCAAGATGATCATAGTCTTCAAGAAAACGAGCTAATTAAGGACAAGAGGGAATTGAAACGATTACAAAAGGAACAGGAGTTAGCACATGTTAATGAGATAAAAGCAATGAAATTGGTATGAGATAAATATCTTTTTCTGTTAGCAGTAAGACGATTTCTGAATATAACTCTTGTTATTTAGCAACACGCGGAAGAAATGGACAAGTTGATAAAACAATTTGAAATCGAAGCTGCAGAATTAGAACAGAAGTACGAACAGAAGTTGACCAGCCAGTATGAATCTCTAACTTTGAAACATCGTATGGAGATAACTGAAGTAGAGGAGAGAAAAAATACGCAAATCGCGAACTTGATTAAAAACCACGAAACAGCATTCGCGGAAATGAAAACTTATTACAATGATATTACCTTAAACAACTTGTCACTGATAAAGAGTATGAAGGTATAATAAGTAGCTATACGAGCAAAGTCCGTTAACATGTAGAAACTGAATTTTCAGGATCAAATGGACGAGATGCGAAGTAATGAGGAACGCATAAAAAAGCAAGTACGGGAGTTGATGATCGAAAATAAAAAATATGCTACTGATGTAAAGGCGCACGAGGAATCTTTGGCGAATTACACTCGCCAGTTAGCAAATTACGAAAAAGATAAACAAAGTTTAATCGTCAGTATCTTTTTCACCTATTATTTTCTATATCTTAAAATTATTGTATAAATTTCAGAACACCAAGAAAAGATTGTCAATGGCGGCGAAAGATTACGAGAATTTAAAATGGGAGAACGAAGTACTAGAACTGCGTTTCGAAAAAGTAAAAATTGCATGCGAAATCTTTTAGGAAAGTAATCATATTAATCGCAATTTCATTTGTCAGTGCCAATCCGAGAGGGATGAATTGCATTCAAGATTCGTCTCGGCGATACTTGAATTGCAGCAAAAGACTGGCTTGAAAAATGTTCTGTTGGAAAAGAAACTCGAGAAGTTATCGGATTTGTTGGAACAACGTGAAGCGCAAATTAGCGAAGTTCTTGCCGCAGCACAATTAGATCCTACGACTGTTGTTACGGCGAACAAGAAACTAGAGGTTTGTCTACTCGTTCTCTAGCTTCCTGTAGGATATCCTAAAATCTTTTTCCTCTCGCAGAACATGCTGAATAGAAAGAACAGCGCGATACAAGATTTGCAATACGAATTGGCGAAAGTTTGCAAAGCGCACGATGATCTACTTCGAACGTACGAAGCTAAACTGCAAGAATACGGGATTCCAAAAACTGAACTTGGTTTCCAACCGCTAAGATCTAAGATTATAACTACGAAATTTGGATTTGGACCTGCGGGTCTTGTAACTACGAACCCTTAGTCTATAAGACTACTGTCTTCACTAACGATCAGTGAAATGTAAAAATAATAAAACGAAGATTAATGCAGACAAAAATTGCAGTAACCGTCGACGCAGAATATCTTTTATTTCGTGAAACAGGTAAGTCTCAGCGCATCCGTTTTATTTTTTTTACAAATTACATAAAATTATCACAGAATGTACAGAGTAGATCATATTTTGTGCCTGACAGTTGTATGCTTTCACAATTTTATCTATCCAGTTCTATTTAATCTCTTTATCACTTGTAACGCGCCTCCCTCCGATATCACATTTCGTTGTAGTTGGCAAACAACTATTAGGCACGATTATTATTTGAAAATGCTTCATATTATAATATATATGTATAGAATTTTATATGTATATAGATATATTAACATATATATATATATATATAGACATAGACACATTTACTAGATAATTTATAAAATATTACAAACCGAATATATCAGGTCACGTGGTTAATAAATTTCAAACATTTATATTTACACGTATTGCACGTATTGAAATTATGTAAAATACCTTTCACTCGAGAATATCTTTATCTATTGATTTTTTTTTTGGAAACGTTTAATTATTAAGTGAAGAAATAAACTGATCGTTTCGTCTTGCACATACAGAAATGTTATATGGTATTTTGTATAGATACACAATCTTATTCAGAATGTATACCTGGACACGCTTATCAATAAGTGCGTGTATTATATTTTCTTGTAGACACACATAATTATACATTCGTATGCATATATACACACATTTCTATACGTATATTAAGTATTTGGCACAATAAGAAATAGAATCACAGTTGAAATCATTGTACATCATAATTGTTACATGGTTTTCGTTTTTGTATATCTGCAAGTACGATTGTATTTTTGTCTTTTAAATTCTAAACACGTAATGCGATTTAGCTAGATTCCATTTTTCGATTGTTGCGTCATATCACGGAATAAGTAGTCGAAAAATTATGATGTCGGGAATAATAGTATGAATATCCAAAAACCTGTGTCAACACCGCGACCACTGTATAAAGTCCTCCCTCGCAGATTACTTTTTTTTTTAGATATCAGGCTCAGTTCATTGGTTCGTCGTGTCAAAGCAATACCTCGAATCTATTTTAATTTCTCAGAGCCACATTGAATATGAATCATAGGTAGTAAAAAAAATAAGTATCTGTTTTTTATTTAGACATTAGTGGTCCATTGTTCCGTTGTATCCCTCTTCTATATTAGGTTCCTACTGTATATCCCTTTTAGAGCTATACTATTCGAAGTGCACGGATTCTCTAGCATTTTTCTCACATCTACTGGTGCCGTAATTAAGTGAAAAACTATGCATAGTGTCTCTAAGCGATTATCGGCGTTCCACTCATACCATTTTGATATAAACTTTGTAAAATATAACGCTACACTTTCATTTGGGTTTTGTCTTCTTTAGATATTATTGAAAAGATACGAGAGTAAACTATCGAAGATAATAAATAACTATGTGTTTGTCGGTTCGTCTGTGTATATATCGAGATACTAAATAAGAAGTCTGAAGGCTCGCACTTAATAAAATATGTCATAGAAAAATTTTGAGCAGTTTCAATTTCGAAAGAAATATCTCCGCGTTGTAAAAACGAACGAAACCCACTCTGTATAAAAAGTATTCCCAATAAAGTATTTGTACATATATGAATTATTTGTTGAGATCCATGGAATGTCTTTTGATTTTCGTTCAACTCATTATTCTCCAGTTTGGCAAAACTTCGGCAATCAGTGTAGAAAAGTATGTCGTTACATTGTACACGACGGTCTCGCCCGCGGCTAAAATCGCCCCGAACGAGCCGTACGTACCGTAATCTATAATACTGTGATTGCAAGCCGATAAAACTGCGAGGTCCTTTCCGGGACCTCTTCCATCCATATCGGATACGAATTTGATTCTATGTCGTTTGCTATGCAAATTATACTTGCACCAAACTATGTTATCGCTAGTCACTACAAAGACTACGTTTCTATACTTGCCGATAAAGTAATCCATTGCCGTGATGTAATAGTTGACCGGAGCGGGCCGGACCTTCAACTTTTGCCACAAGTAGTCCACGTAGTCCGTTCTTCTCACGTGCACGCTCACAAACGTTGGTTCGGGCAACTCGAACTCCTCGGCCACTTCCCTCAGCACATTCTCCGCGTAAGCTCTTAAATTTGGCTTAAATGTAAATTCTCTTCGTACATCATCCAACCACACCAGTATGAGGGACCAGTACGCCGCGTGTCTGTCGGTTTATCAAAAAAAAGTAAATGGTATCGTTCACGACGAACGAAACGGCTCACCTTGGTATAATGATGTTCTGTTCCGTGCTGTTCCACTGTCCCAAAGAGTTCACGACTTGGCTAACGTCTAAGTAACATCTTCCGATGTAGCTGAGGGGTGGTATACTGAGATTGACAAAGTACTCTTCGAGGGTTTTCAATATGCAGCGTGGCATAAACGGTTCCAAGCCTGTTCTCCTCGCCGTTGCCCACACAGAGGCATATTCCCAGATCTGATTTCCAAGCCTACCACCTTGGACCGCGGAAACTATTCCATATTTCGGACATGGATTTCTCCACTCCGGCGGTATTCTGATGTTCTTCAACGTCGTGCGGCACAGGGCTTGCTCGTAAGTCGAGATTTTGATGAGACGGGCTGGTGGGTTGGATGTGTACATAGGGAACAGGAAGACATGGATGCAGAAGACCACTATCAGAGCAAGAACTATTGCGCTTGCAAGTACATGCTGCTGAGCGTGACTCATTATCCTTTATTTACTCCTGTGGTCACTACGTATTCGATCAACTCTTTTTTTCTATCTTCTACTGCTTTCTGCTTTATTTAGTTTCTACTCTTCAACTTCCACTAGTCCGGCATTTTGTATCTACAGATGTGCCATGTCCTTTGCTTTTCGTCGTACATCTTTGCAATGATAATATTTAGTTTTATTGAACAGCACACGCCTCTGTGTAATTGTTAATTGTACATGATAACAGGATGTGGGTTGAATAAGTAATGATGAAAAATAGAAATGATCGAACAGAAAAAGGCTTTGTAAGGCATTGATCATTTTTCGCTTCGCTGTATCTAAAATAAGTAGTACAAATCGATGTTGGTCAGACAGTGAAAAGGACATGGCCTAGCGTACTTTATTTAGAAGCTGCTAATTTAGCGAGGTTTTATTATACAAAGCACGGTACATACGTACATTAAAATTCTTTTTAACAAACGTTTGTTTATTTCAAAACTAACGAAATTATATATTACATGTCATGTATGGCAGTATAATGTAAGTATAATAGTAACAGGTGGTGATGATGAGTTTTTAAATATTACATTAGCTATTATATATACATGTACTATACAAGAATAGTGTTTACTATTCGCATAAATCCGGACAGCGAAAATGTACAAAACTGAAGATCATAAATAAAAGATACTTACACTGAAGTGTCAAAAAAAGGTTGAAATCATGATACAAATTATTCGGAGAAACAAGTACGGTAACAATAAGTCCGAGTCGAACGATCGGATTACGTTTGAGTTAAAAAATTATTATCATGATGTCTATATTTTAACGTCCACTCACCTGTCCCGAGAAATGATTGGCATCGCATTCGAAACCTACAGCTATTCACGAGGCTTGTTACTTTACTTCTACCGTTCATGTTTGCTCGTAAAGATCGATCAGTATCTCGTGCATTGACGCTTGTTGCGTATCCACACGAGATCTTCGTATATAAACGTAATTTCGCTCCTTCGATGCGAATAATCACAGTACACTCATCTTCCGTGTTAAAGCAACGTTCTGCCTGTCTCCTTCACGAAACTGTTTGGGCAAACCGATGCTGAGCGGTCAACAACGGGGAGCACTCGCATCTCGCATCCTTGAAATAGGGGATGGGGGATGTTATCTCGGCAATGACGTCACTGAAACTACGCATGAACAGAGCGGAGGGTGCTCACGCCCGCGTTTTGCGTGTTCCCTCTCCATAGCTCCATATTAGTATTGCGCTAGTGCTGCCCCCAGCTTTCACACGTTCAGTTTCACGGGTCCTGTTTCTGCATGTTTCTTTCTGTTCATTCTGCTAATAACAAAGAGCTTGCCTATTCTCAGCTCAGCTTGAGTACGAAAAGATAAATAAATATGAGATTTTAATTCTGAAAGTAATAATTTAAAGACACGACGATGGAACAAAGAGAAACTCTTTCACGAAAGGTTTGTGTACTGTCACTTTCTTAACGTTGTAAGCATAATCTTGTTTCAATTTTTATTAAACAATGAATTAATACAGAGATATAGAAGAGAAGATGAGAGAGGAACCAGTCCTGTAGAAACAGATGACGATTATGTTCCTTACGTGCCAGTCAAAGAGCGTAAGAAACATCAGCTGGCTAAGCTTGGTAAGCTTGGACAGCTTAAAGACGAAGCTGCTGCTATCATTGGAAAGAGTAGCAGCGAAAATGAAAGAGATGATGCGGATGATGACGATGGACAAGTATGGGGAAGGAAATCGAATATTTCCTTACTGGATCAACACACTGAATTGAAAAAATTGGCAGAAGGTATGTACATATTGTACTTAAGAAGGTGCTTGATTTTACAATTGCTTGATTAAATATTGCAGCTAAAAAGGAAAGTGCTATGGAGAAACAGTTGAAAGAAGAGGAGAAAATTTTGGAGAGCGTGGCAGAGAACAAAGCTTTGATGGGTGTAGCTGAATTAGCAAAGGGCATTCAGTATGAGGATCCAATAAAGACTAGTTGGAGACCTCCGAGAGCGATTCTTGCTCTTGGAGAAGCAAGGCATGAGAGAGTTAGAAGAAAGCTTAGAATTTTAGTAGAAGGAGATGATGTTCCACCACCGTTGAAGAGCTTTAAGGAGATGAAATTTCATAGAGGGATATTAAATGGCTTGGAGCAAAAAGGTATTGTCAAACCGACACCAATCCAAGTTCAAGGGATACCTACAGTGTAAGTATTATCTTATACATGTAATATTATCTTTTACATGATGAAATAGAACATTCATTTTTACTTGTTTGTGATGTATTATAGATTATCTGGTCGCGATATGATTGGCATTGCTTTTACTGGAAGTGGTAAAACATTGGTTTTTGTTTTACCTCTCATAATGTTCTGTTTGGAACAGGAAGTGGCTATGCCATTTGTGAGAAACGAAGGACCATATGGTATATATTTATAGTATTTGTCATTTGAAAATAGAAACTAATGAACATGAAGATGTAATTTTTTACCATGGTTTCGACTCTAGGTTTAATCATTTGCCCATCGCGTGAATTGGCCAAACAGACTTACGACATCATTCGGCACTATACGACTAGTTTACGACAATCAGGCTGCCCTGAAATACGCAGTTGTTTAGCGATCGGAGGTGTGCCTGTATCAGAATCCTTGGAAGTTATTAACAAGGGTGTACATATCATGGTAGCGACTCCGGGAAGATTAATGGATATGTTAGACAAAAAGATGGTCAAACTCAGCGTGTGCCGTTATCTTTGTATGGACGAAGCCGATCGTATGATCGACATGGGCTTCGAGGAAGACGTGCGAACTATTTTCTCGTTTTTCAGGGTGAGTATATTTAATTCCAGTAATTTCTCCCGGTTAAAATATTGGACTAAATTCAATGTTTTATACAGGGCCAGAGGCAAACGCTGCTCTTTTCTGCGACTATGCCGAAAAAGATTCAGAACTTTGCGCGTTCAGCGTTGGTGAAGCCAGTGACGATTAACGTCGGTCGCGCAGGAGCGGCGTCTATGAACGTGGTGCAAGAAGTCGAATACGTGAAACAGGAGGCTAAAATCGTGTACCTATTGGAATGCTTACAGAAAACTCCTCCGCCTGTGCTTATATTTGCCGAGAAGAAGCAAGATGTGGATGCTATCCACGAATATTTATTGTTAAAAGGCGTTGAAGCCGTGGCAATACACGGTGGAAAAGGTACATCGAATTTTATGGAAGCGAGGTATCGTTTATGCAGTTTTCAAGTTCATTTCAAATATTTTAATTAATGTTTGTTTGTATAGATCAAGAAGAGAGATCGCGTTCCGTGGAGGCTTTCCGTGAAGGTCGGAAGGACGTGTTGGTCGCGACGGACGTAGCATCGAAAGGTCTCGATTTCGCTGATGTGCAACACGTAATAAATTACGATATGCCAGATGACGTTGAAAATTATGGTAATAAATCTAAGTTTCTGTCAATATCTAAAGCAGTAACCGATTATTAAGATATGAACTTTAACATGCAGTACACAGAATCGGAAGAACAGGTCGTTCTGGGCGAACTGGAATAGCCACAACATTTATTAACAAAGCGAATGACGAGTCGGTGTTGCTGGATTTGAAACATTTGCTTATGGAAGCGAAACAGAAGGTCCCACCGTTTCTGCTGGAACTCTGTTCAGAGAACGAGAAATATCTCAATTTGGGAGGTAACGCTATTCACGTTTATACTTCGTTTTTTATCGAAGATATTATTACAGAAAATAAACTTTACGCTTTCGTTACATTTCAGACGAGCGTGGATGCAGTTATTGCGGTGGTCTTGGTCACAGAATTACGGAGTGTCCGAAACTGGAAGCTATCCAAAACAAACAGGCATCTAATATCGGACGCCGCGATTATTTGGCCAGTAATGCAGCTGATTATTGAAATCGTTTCGAACCGAAAGATTCTGTACATATCTTTAAACTATCTTTCTTTTTATATATTTTTCGTCAAACAATTTTGTAAATAGTTTTACAAGTTAATAAATGAATGAAGCTATATATTTATCTGCTTCTACCGTGATGCTTTTATGTTTCGTTGATTAATTTGGCAGACTCGAGATACGTTTACGTTTACGTGTTGCAAATCGAAGTGAATAAAAATGATTAAGGAAGATGAGGAAAGTACCCAGAGGATTAAAGATCGGAAAGAAGCGGAGTTGGAAATGCGGCGAACAGCGATGGAAACGAAATCCAAGAAGAAGCGAGAATTGCGTCGACTGCACATCGAACGCAAGGAGGCAACCGAAGCAGCCAGAGTGCAACGAGATAAAGAGGTGGCCGAGGCGAAAGTTCGTCAACACGAACGCATGCAGCGATTAGCCGCGGAGCTTTCGTGCCGTAAACGTAAGGTGACTCTTGTTATGTCGTTCTATGGTTATTCCAATGATATCGCGATACAGATTTCGAGCTCCAGGAGTTTTACAAGAAACAGAAGGAAAGATCCACTGCATCAGTGGTTACGATGGAAGCGTTGGGAAAGGTACAAACGGAACTGTGCACGCCGAGGAAAGGAGAGGACGTGCTGCCTTCCACGTTGTCCTGCCCGTGGAACTACGAGGAGGAGTCTGAGGCGAAGAAGCATGAACGAAAACTGAATTACAAGCGGGATCTCCAAAATCAGATGATCGATAATCAACGTAGATTTCGCGAGGAGGAAGAGGAGAAGCATCGGGAGAGGAAGATAATGGAGGAGGTCGGGGAAGTGCTACATAGAGAGAATTTGGAGGCGGAGAAAGCGAAGAAAGGTACTGCCGGTCTGCTGCAAGATGAAAGAGACGCTTTCTTAAAGGCTCGACAAATCTGGAAGGAGAAGAGGAGGGAAGTTCTGAAGCAGGAGTTCGACGAGATTGCACGTATAATCGCTGAAAAGGAAGCTCAGCAAAAGAAGGAGGCAGAGGGGAAGGTTTGTCAAAAGATTCATTCATCGTGGATTGAACTTTTACTTGAAAAAAGGAACAAGTTTCCCTTCTTTAGAGCGATACTCAGGCGGTAAAGGATGTCGTGCTGGAAAAGCTGATGGCTAAGTTGATGGAAGAGGAGCGGAAGCGGCTAGAACGGGAAGAACTCTGCCGCGAGCTGTATTTAGCGGAGAAAGATGACGAGCTGTCGAAGGAGATGGTTAAGCAGGCAGTGCAAAAGAGACGCATTGCGAGAGAGCTTCGGCAAGAAATGGTAAAATCACAATCGTTTCCTGCTATCAGATCGGTCACGTGCATGCGATAAACAGGAAATGATTGTCGAAAGGTGTGAAATAACAGGCGAGGAATCAGAAGGCCATAGCTGAGAAGAAGGCGAAGGAGGATGCGATCGACGCTGCTTTCGCTAAGTATTTAGCGGATGAACAAAAGAAGCGAGAGGAAGCTGAGAGAATAAAGGAGCAAACACGTCGACGAAATGGTATTTACACGAGTCAAACGTGTGTAACATAAAAGTATACATCCTTTCTCGTCCTAGTCGTTCAATACAGAAATGAACTGCGGGAGATGATGGCGGAGAAGGCGATACAACGCGCGAAGGAAGCCGAGCCTATACCGATGCAAACAGGACCGTTCATAACTGACGAGAAACGTAAAGTGAAGTGCTACTCGGAATCGACTTTTCAAACGTTCAAATCGCAAGACATTAAAAATGATCTGTACAATTAGAGTGTGTAACTCTACGTCTGGTTTATTGGTATACAGATATATACAACGATGCGGCGAAACGTCGCCCTTGTGGCTCTTCGTCGTTTATACAAAGTCCGTGTAAAAATACAGCAGCCCCATCTTATATCGGATATTAATGTACTTGGTAAATTAACAGTCTCGCCTCGCCGGTGTCCGGTATCGAAAAATCGGACGGGAACAGCTCTAAACTAACGAGTACTGCCGATCAGATTTTTCTTGGCAGTCGAGGCAATCTCTCGAGCGATCTCTTCTACTCTTCACCTCCTTCCCGTTCGCGATTCGCTTCCAATTTGATATTTTTAATTCGTGCCATTTCCTTTTTTTTTAAACAATTTCATAACGGAAGGAGGGGTTTAAGTAGCAAAATAAGAAGCACCCGAGCGTTAGGAATGACTATGAGTAAAAACGTTAGTTTTCCGGGTGACTGGCTAGTCGCCATAGTCGCTTAAGAATTAATTCCGACCGATCGATCGGTCTTTATAAATGTCAACGAGTAAACGAACGTCTATTGTTAAAACGGCATATAATAATTCGTGAAATGAACTCGTCAAACGTATTCCTGAGATCGTGTGAGAAATTCTTTTACACGTACACATACTCGCGATCTCACGAGTGATCGTGAACATTTTTAAATTGGATATGCTGATATAATTTCTCTACTATTTTTATACCTTACGTGCTACTTGAAATGTATACCCTCACTCATCGAATCATTTATCGATGAACGGCTCTGACCTATGGCTCCTTTATCAGTGAACCTGATCATGTGTAACGAGCCTGTAAAATGTTATGATAAAATAACAAACGAATTATTTAGGCGACTTGGCCACTGGCTCAGAACCGGTAAATTCCACGAGTTTTAATACAGATTGGTCTTAAAAGTAAAATCACATTTCCTTAGACAACCCATTTGCCTACATTGACTTGCTATTTCGTTCAACTAACACGACTCTACGTGGCTTTTTAATCTCTTTCCGACGAGAAACTAATGAAAATAGATAAGAAAAGCGTAACAAGTTCGAAAGAGCTGCAGTCGCACTATTCTTCCAGTTTGCTCAATAAATAGTATTTCCTATCCAATAAAATGGTCTCCGCGAACTAATAATCGCTTAGATAGTACATTAGGCCAATGGGTCAATTAAATATATTAATCGCTCGCAAATCGTAGCAACCGTCCGCGCGCGACTGCTAAACGTGTATATGTAAAAGTAAAATCACATGTTCTTATGATTTAAGTACACGTACGTACGTATGTATACACATAAGCGGATTTTTTGTTCATGTATTCGCAGCAACAGGCAAAATACTCTATTTGTTTAATCGGAGGCGGGCAAATGAAGCGTGTTCCTTCCATATTCTAACTTATGGCAGTATTCATCGCATAATTCTTAATGAACAACGAGAAAATAGATTTACCCACCTCCATCAGTTAATATTAACGTCCCGATGGAGAACGGGACCGCAATACGAAACACATTCTATTCTCTCCTCGCAAGTATCAACAGTTCCTTTCATCCCGTGTAATACTTGTGATTCAATGGGATTTTTCAGGGGATGGACCAAGATAACAAGAGTATTCGAAGAAAGCTAGAGTATTTAAAAAACAACAATACCTTTACGGAATGGAATGATCCGAAGGAACTTAAGACTCGAGTCGGACGCAACAAGACTTACAAAGCGATTCGGGAATGTTTTATGGGCACGGAATCGTCTCGATATTGACTAACAGCACCGTAGGGTATCAATGTAAGGATGATCATCGTGAAAACTTAGCGAAAGAACGCGTAATTCTCGTATCCTTGCTCTTTTTTTATACAGTCTCAAAAATATAAATAGTCCAACGAGTTTTATCATCACTTACGCATTGGAAAATGCAAATGACCCGGCAAGGTGTACACCGCGGTTACGTAGGAATTGCCGGCGAATAGGAACCATCAGAAAAGTACGTTAGATGAACAGCAGGTGGAGGCAAACGAAACGGACAAACGATCGTTGAAACAAACTGAAAACAGCAAGATAGCGTTGTCATCTAACAATGTTCGCGCCTTTTTCCCAGAGGAAGTGTCGTGCGGTTCTCTGAGTGATCAAGCCACCAAGATTTGCACTGCTTGCCGATTTCCCGTTTGTCTCACGATCATCGTTGCCAGGTAAATGAAAAAGAATTCTCTCTTTTTGCGACCGCGAGATCCCCTTTCTTCCCAGGTTTTAGAACAGCGGTGTACGATAGGCACGACATAGTAACAGTTTTAAGTATCTCTCTCATTCGCTCGCTCGCTCTCTTTCTCTCTCAATTTCTTATCGTCTCGAAAATACGATAACACATCACGCTAAAAACTCGCCTCTCGCATCGATCGAACGCTGATCCCTGAACTGTGTAAAGCTGCGATCGCAAATGAATCGTAATCAAGTGCTTTCGAAGAGAAAACGAAGCAAATCATCACCACGTAGGCGCGTACATCGATGCGCGCTTTAGTCTTTCTTTCCTTTAATTGAATTTGGCCCCTTTTCTTTGGAAGAAGAAAAACTTGGCTTGGGTCGTTCGACTGCTAGCACTTCCGTCGTTTTCAATGATCGATTATTATGCGATTCACGGCATCAATTATCCTGAACGCACGACACAAGATTGTCGCCTTAATTACTAGGAAGACATGAAGAAGAGCGAAAGCGTATGCCGTATGTGTATGTATGCGTGTACTTCTCTCGGTTACACGGTACCCGTAAAAAAATAAACTCCAGCACTGTAGAACGGAAGAAGCTCACTCGGGGTTGCGTTCACGAGAACACGTTCAGCAGTCATTTGACTATAGTTTCCCACTTCACCAACAACGATCGCTGTTTTTTGATTCTTCACTCAGCGTAATGTCTTCACCCCAGTGAATGATTCTGCTTGTTACTGTAACCGAGGCTGTGACCACGGGATGGCATATAAACGAGTTTTCTTCGCGACCTCGTCGGACGGGATTCCATCGATACAAATTAAATTCTACAACGATTTCTTCTAAGCGAATTCGCTATGTCCCTCGTTCACCGTCACGTGTCCGAGAAGAGAAATTCGCTCTCGGACAATAACACCTCTAGGTCGGAAGGAACGGTATGGAGATCAGAATTGGCCGGTTCAGGTATATCACTCGCACTGTTACCGATTCCCGTAGGCGCTATTTGCCTGGCCCTGCCAATTCTGACTCTGTCCTTCTTCTTTGCAGTCCTCAAAAGAACACCAGTCCTCGGTAGTTTAGGCCTGCCATTGGCATGCGTCGTGTTCGGCAACGCGGGAACCTGCGCGACCTTATCCGATTTCCGTAATTTCACACTAAATCTGAATGGCGGTTTGTACACCACTTGTAACTTCGCTCTCTCCTTCCTTATCCCTTGAGAATTAACCGGTAGCTTCTGGATCTCCCTAGCCTCCGTCGCTCTGGTCCTGGAAGTTGCTTGAAGCCTGGTCGTAGGCAGCCTGGCTCCAGCGCTGGTCAGACCCACGGGAGTAGATTTGCTCTTCGGTAAACCAGTCGCGTTCGTTCTTTCTGTTTCCGGTCGACACTGAGAAGATGCTAATAGCCAGGAACGAACTTTGCTCTTAGGGTCAGCGTTAGGTTCCGATTCTTTCTCGGCTTGAATCGCGGAGTAGTCTATCACTTCTTTCTTGTGTTGCTTCTTGCGCTTCCTCTTCTCGTCCGCGTTACTACTGACCGCGTTCGCGTTCGAGTTTTGCTTATTTGAAAAAGTTTTCTTCCGTTTGTTATCTTGAACCACTGCCGTCGCGTCTGCCGACCTCTTCCTAGCGAATTCCTCAGCGACGTTCGCGGATGTCCGTTTCGATTGCGACTGCGGCTGCTGCTTCTTCTTCTTCGACGCGTCCTTGACGGATTTGTCGTTGCCGTGCGTATCCTTATGCTTCCGGTGCCGTCTCTTTTCTCTGACCTTTCTACTGAGCGGCAGCTTCGCACGTACAGCCGGCGGATGAACCGTGACCCCCTCCATTCCCTCCGGCGGAAGACGCACCGTTTCCGTTGTCGAGCTGTGTATTATTGTGACCGACTTCAGCTTCAGATCCGGCTGTTTGCCCAGCAACCGCATGCTCGCCACCTAAATTCAGAAACGGTCTCGTCAACCGTCAAACGTGACGCAAGGTCTTGTCCTACTGTTACCGGATACATAATTCACAGCGATGGTTTGACAAAAGTTAACTACGATACGGTTTGCAATTACGTTTGCGTGTTTAATACATGAAGGATTTGAAATGATCCAAATAGCGTTGAACGATAACTAGCGAGTAACAGAATCTACGTTCGCTCGTCCCTAAACTTACTCTCAACACGTTTCGTATTCGCGCGTTTCCTCGATCGTATCTGATGTACAAGTACAGATTGTAATAAACGTATCGTTATTAAACATTCTCGTTATGAATAGAGTATGCGAGACAAGAAGTAATTGTCCCAGGCAGTGATACTCACCAGTAAAGATACAGCAGCCAAAATGATCAGAGCGGCTGCGTACCAATGATCAATGATCCAACGACGGAAAGTAGCTAGGCTCTCGTCGGATAAGAGAAGCTTTCTTAAGGTTGCCAAAGGACCGCTTGGATCGACCTGTGACAAACAATTTTTTAAACAAAATTGCGATACATATGGATTTATTAGTCTTCAAATCCTGGACGAACCTCTCGACATTTTTGGAAGACATCGCAGTACCCATTGTAGTCGTTGCACGGAGTTCCCGGCTTCGAGAACATGTCCGGTATGTCGTAGGGCGGGGAGTTCCAATCGAAGGATGACCTATCAACGAAAGATCGATCATCAATATATCTATTTTTAACGGCACGCACGCACAAACGGGAGGCTACGGTTAATATCGTACAAGCAAGGTTGATTCTCTCCGGGAAGACGGCAACAGAGCTCGCAAGCCTTCGTCGACGGATCATTTGGCCCTGGGATACACTGGCAAGATTCCAAACCGTATGCAAGGCATATACTGCCCGTACATTCCTATGAAACGAGAAAAAAATAATACACCGAACATACTTTCTACCCCGTTCAAGTCCCTAGCACTCACCCCCATAAAACACACGAACTCTCGATTGCAGATTGTTTTGTTCGGTTTGTTGATGGAGGGAGGACAATAAGGCGTTCTACCGTCGCAGAAACTAGCGTCGCGACATCCGTTATCGTCCCTGCACTTGTCTCCGAACTTCAATTTGCACTCGCCGGTACAGCAAGGACCCTGATGAGCGACAAGAAATTTTCGAAATGTTCAGAAAAATGATTGAAAAATATTTACGTACTTGACTAGGACTGCAGATGGATTCCGGTGTCAGTGTGCAAGGTGTCTCACCCGCCGGTGGATAACGACGCTGGGGAAAGCAACACGAATCCCTGCAATCTTCTTCCCATCCGCAATCGCACTCTTCGCCCTCTTCGACGACTCCATTCCCGCACAAGGAGATTTGCGGCTCTACAGAAATACAGCATTTCTAAATACGTTTCGAACGAAGAGATCCCGACATAAAGACAAGTCGGTTATAAAACTTGGAAATGAAGTTCCGTTTTATGAAGAGTGGCAGTTACTTATGTACCGTCAATCCGCCCATCTGTCCGCTCTATAGTCTTTAAAGTTTTCATAGAAAACGCAGTAAAAGTTTAACGCGCGCGTGAATAGTCCTCGAGAAATTTCGACTATAATTCGACTAGAGTAAACGTTAGAAAATACGAAGGAAATGATAGGCATTCACGTTGACGGAGAGCGGTTCGATATGAAGAGGCGTAAAAATAACGAGCAATGGAAACTGACCGGTGAAGCAACCCTTCGGAGAACGAGCTTTGCTATTCAGAACTGGGTTTATGGCACTCAAGCTACACGGGCTGAAACGATTATTGTTACGCTTGTCGCCGCTGGTAGCACGAGCGAACATAATGAAGTTTCCATCCTCCCCGCCGGGTGTGCATTGTTCCGGATCGTGCTGAAACAAAGTAAAGTGCCGGCTGGTGTTATACGCGTAGGTGTATATCGACAGTCCTAGAAAAACAGGCTAACGTCAAACTCCCACATATCCTTGTCCACCCTCTACGCCATAACGCGAAAAACGTCTGTTCCGTAGTATAGACAGGGTAGCGGTATGTCATCCGGTAGCGTGAAAGTAAATTCGGGCGACCTACCGGCGAGCCGAAGTTGTGGCCGATCTCGTGGGCCAAGGTGACGTGAGAAACTGCGGGTGGTACGTGCTTGCCGTAATTCAGTAAAGTCACTATTCCGGTGTTCAGCGACTTCATGCTCCCGCGATAGTGCTGCAAAGTTCACCGGATCATACATTTCATCGTTCCAGGGTTCTCGCTCAGCTTTCATCTCGTAACCGGGCAAAGTTTTATCAGCCCGGGCGCATCATGCGATTTGAAAGTTGCCAATTATGTTATTATCCGAGCGCGAAAAATCTTTTGCAATTTGGTGAAAAAGATACAAGCGGCGTTTATTCTGTTTGAGAGGCAACGTCTAGTGTTTCACGCACGATACGACCTCGAGTATGAAATCTGCAATTTATACGAGTCTCTCTTTGGAGCGGAAGGGTCGAGCGTCCGGTGCGCAGCGCTGGTTTAAAAAGTTACGAAAACAAACTCACCCCGTTCTTTTCGCAAACACCGCCGGCGTTTTTCAGGTCACCTGTCCAAGCGAGGCCCAGCGTTCCCATCTCGAAGTCCCGGTACGTGAACATATAAGCTAAGCAGAACGCGTCGTAATCCTCTTCTGCAATGAACGAGAACAAGGCCAGGGATTTGTAATCGTCCGGGGTGATCGATCGATCAGGTCTTTTTTTTTATACTTTTTCGCGCGCGCAACAATCGACTAAGCGGACACGGTAGAACAAGATTTATTTACCGGAGAACAGCTCCAGATATTTTTCCACTCCGTAGTTGCCTGGGAATCGATAATTCGGATCTTTCAATGCGTTCTCGCTGTGTACCTTTACGCGTTTTATCATGAAGCTGATGTTGTCTGGTCGTCCGTCCTGGTTGAAATCTACCAACAGCGATAAATCTGTCTAATTCTCCAGCCTGGTTGCTCTGGCTGACTTTAAATACACACCATGTAATAAACAGACCGCGGATTCTTATGCAAAATTTATCGTATCAGTTTAAAGGTTTGAAAATTGCGATATGCACTCAGCTCTTAACGTAACTTTCATATAAATAGTCTCATGAATGTATAAAATCGGTAGTTCAGTAATAATAAATGCGAAACATTTGTAAAGAGGAATGACTCTCAATAGACGCAGATGATCGACGTTTTACCGGTATGTTTGTAAATGGAGTTGACCCTTTGCACGTGTCTAGTCATCACTTCGATGCAAGCCTCCTCCGTGCCGTATCTCGCGAAAAACTGATGATCCGCTTGTAGGTAGAGCATGCAGGTAGTTTTCCGTGGGTCGACGGTAGCACGTTTGTGCAAATGTCTGGCGATACGATCTCCGTCGCTCGTTCTGAAAACGAGTAAACGGGGTGGGACTAGAGACTCGTGAATTTCTTACCAGCGCACCGGATAAACAGCTTATCCCGTGCGCCGCGGGTAGTAGCTTCCGTCCCGCGATATCATAAAAATCGCGAGATGGAGAAAACGAAACGCGGCCGTCCGTACAAACAATTCCACCGCGATTTTCTCTACCGTTCCACGACACTCACGTTTCCATACGTGCCGCGGTCTTCTCTCTCTCCGACGTTAAAATCCGCGCGGCGGAGTTTTCCTTCGAATATAGAGCCTGCCTCTCTCCGAGCAACGGTTCGTAAAGAGACCGCGAGTCGTTGCTGTGGCTGTTCCTGGAAATAAATAAACCAACGTCTGCATGGTTGCAAGGAAAAACCCGGCAAGAGCTCGACGAAGCTGATAAAAAATTAGTTGATCGGATTAAAACTAAACCGCCTTCTTCCGTTATGTAAACGTAAGATCGTTGGAAACTGCAGAGGCAGCGGCAAAGGGTCCACGAGTTTAGTACGCGCGGGATTAATTGGCAACGATTCGTCCGGGAACGTTTGAAGATCCGCGGTTTAAAGCTCGTTATATCACCTCCAGGCGAGGCTCCCACGTATGTACATACGTACATCCGGCGAATAATGCGTCGTCGGAGAAATTGCTAACGAAATTAGCACGTGGAAGGAGCAGCCGGTGTGGATAGTTGATAAACCTCAGACGGCGCAGACGTTCGGGGCAACGGGGCTTGTCTCTCGTTAGATCCATTTTCGTCGTTGGTTAACGTAACACGATTTGCCCGGGCTGTTTTAGAGACGTTATCCTGTTACATTAACGAGCGACCGTCTGCGACACGTCGACGATGCGACGCGCGACTCGAAAATCTTTACCATTTCCTATAATTTGGCCTTCCTCGGCTCGACTTCCTCGCAAACATGCAATTTGAATGAACCAACGTTTTCCATAAACACTACTTCCTGGCAAAAGTTTCTGCTCAAATTCAATGTACAACGTGCAATGGAGTAACAGTGAGACGTGCAGAGCTTCAATGCAATGAAACTTTTAATGTATAATTAATACTAAGAATATACTGAGGTATGAGATTCCTTTCATAAAAAGTGCGAATGTTTTTTCCGGAATAGGCATCCGCTGACATCATTAGTCGATGAATCACACGATCGGAAGGAAGATACTCACTTTTCCGCGGAACCGTGAGAAGCAACCTGATGCAAATGATGACTGGCGCAAGGAAACGTCCTCCGTGGCGTTAACACGTCCGAGGCCCTGTAAGCTATGCTGTGATACGGAGGAGAGGTGTCCTCTTCTTTGTTCAAGTATCTGCTAGTCGGTTCGATGTAGTATTCCTCGAAACCGGTGACGACAGTCCCGTCGAACAGGCCGTCCTCCGTTACGACCCCTTGAACCAAGGCATTCTCGTCCTCTGTAAGCAAGTCGAAATTGCTGGATTGAATAAATCAGTTTTTAAAATACACACGTACGTCGCATATTGCAATCTCTTTTTCCACAAAATCTACAATCTAATTATGATCCTTCCGAATTAAAATCGTTCTTTTTTTTTTAGTGGAACATATTCTGAAAAGACGATCAGGCTTCGGAAGTCGAGAGAATTTATCGGTGCGGGTGGATCGACGTTTTTATCCATTTCGTTGCAACGAATTGGCCACGGTGGCTCGCGTTATTGACGTAATATCGTTTCTTTCCCGGGGAGGTATCACAGCGTCCCGGGGAAAATAAGCAGCACGCTGGGGAATTTATTTTCCACAGCGAGCGAAAATATTTTTTACGGTGGCGCGCGCGTTCGAACAAAACCCTCGACGGTCCCGGAGAAGACGCAAGTTTTTACGATTTCGCAGAGTTCCGAAAATTCGTAACAAAATACTGGATTCGAAATACGAGAACAGAACCTTTCATCCTTGAACTCGGTTCAGAATCTAATTTGCGTTGTACGTGCTTTTACGAGGCTTTGACTGTTTTTCAGATTGTGATTTTAATCATCTGACAAGAAGATTGATCTTTTAGAAGTTGTATTTCTTTGAAACAGCTCTCCTTCGGCGGTTGGCTTTTATCGTTTCGCTTTATTAACATTAAAAGCGACGAGCGAGTTTGTACGTGTAATCGGCTGTTCGCACGGAAATCGAGCGAATCGTCCTCTCTATTTAGATTCGGAGAACTCGCCTGATAACTTCGTTCCGTCCCGGCTCTCGTCGACGGCTCCGCTTCCGGTTGAAGCGATAGATTTCCGAGGCAAACTCTCGGAATCGAAAATTGTCTCGGGGTGAAGCAAACGCGAAGCAACGGGGCGGGAACAAAACGGGACAGACGCCGGGAAAGAAGAGCGAGGGAAGCTATCCGTTTCCGTCATAGCCGTCGTCTTCAACGGGAATTACACCGTTTCGACGATTTCATAATTTCCGGTGGTGGGTTTCCTCCCCCGCCGGCCTACGGGCTGGGAAACTGGGTCGTCGAACTTCGGTCTTACTGCGGAAAATGAACTTCCAGATTTTTAATCGTGTGCGTAATAAGGAGAGACGAAAGGTAAAATGGTATTCGAAAAATAAAAGTCGGAAGCACGTGGCGCAGCGCCATACTCTTGACATAATTCACTCCGAGTGGCACCCTCCTACCCCCGTCCGTTTTTTTATTTTCTCCTTAACGACGCTCGTTCAGCAATTACTCGGACGTTCCTCATAATTAATCGGATGATACACGACCGCGGGTACCGTTTAATTTAGCATTTTTCACCGGCTCCGGGAAAGAAATCCGGCTAATTGCCGATTACACACAAAAGGCCGAATTCCTCGAGACCTTCCTACAGGAAGAACGAATGAATTATCCCGAAGCTTTTCCCTGCAATTAAGTGTTTTAAATCCCTCGACGGGAATCCGGGACGGATAAATTCACCCCTCATGCTAATCGATACCCCCTCGAACAAAGGAAACGATTGAACAAAGGGTTCTACCGCTCAAACGATCCAAGCTAGCTCTTGATGCGGAACTACGACCGGATGAAATTACCATTTAAGCGGGAATCGAAAATTTCCCCTTTCGATGTCGACGGCCGACCGGCGAAAGAGACACCGCGGGAAAGAGGATGCTCATTAACCGATGCGATACAAATTCTGCCTCGTACCATCGTCGCGTGTCGTAGTTCCTTATTATCGTTGTATGCGTGTCGTACACATCGACGATCGTATACAGAGTGTCCCGGAAAAAGTGTTAGAGCCGAAGAAGGGTGATTCCCCCAATGAGAATACGCGTAGGGCCCGCGCCAAACGGGTTAGTGTTTTTCGTTAATAATTTAAAAACCATGCGTCACTTTGCATTTTGGCAAAGGAAATTGTTGTTCAGAATCACCTCTCTTCGGTTCTAACACTTTTTCTGGGACACCCTGTATACGTATGATAACATGATTTTTGGTATACAATTTATGTACAACGATTCGACGTTCATAATGACACGCCGCTGCGGTGATACGGTACAATGACGTGACGTAGGTAAATACGTGGCTGGAGAGGATGCTTATTAGCTGGAGCAGTAACGTTGAAATGAAAGGAAAAATGTTGCCGGGGGATTTCGATCGGAAGAGAGATGCCGCGTGTTCGTTTTTACGGAGCACATATTGAACTCCGGCGCGCAGCTTCCACCGTGAAATCCATTTAAAACGAACGTGCCGCGCACGAAATGGTTTATGAAACGATATCGTTAAGTCTTGCACAAGTTTGTCTCTCTCTCTCTCTCCCCGGCCTCGCCTCGATTGGACTGGCCGTCGGTTTACACATAGTCGATACCATTCGTTCCGAGCGAAAAATAACAGACCGTGTACTACGCGGACACGCGATCTAAAGGGGGGATACTACGAAAAAAGAGGAAAAAAGAGAAAAATCGTCGCGGACGCGTGGACGCGAGGTCGATATTGAGATTACAAAGAATACCGTTCGTTATTTAATTCGGCCTGTATCGCGGCCAGACGATACGTACGAGCGTGTCGATTGCAAACGATCCCGGCTCGACATTCCGTATTTTCATCGCGGGGGGGAAAAGTTACTTAATGCTCGAGTAACTCGCCTCGAGATCATCGATAAAGCCAACCCTCGTATTCCCCGAGCAGCTTTTATGACTTTATGAATTTCTATCCTTTCAACGAATTATTCTTCATATAACGAGCATTTGTTTGAAAGAAACCCGATCATTATTCAATCGATCAGATGAAATTGATGTAGCTGATGATTGTCGGAGCATAAGTCGCTTTGATACATCACGCGTACGATCTGATTATACGTCGTATATACGTCATTATTAATATACGTGCCGATTAGCACGTGCAACTTAAACTGTCATCACCGAACCGCATCATACTTTAATCTGATTATTTCATTAAGTCGCATTACATTTTGCTTGTAACCTCGCTTCTATCTTATTACTTCTGTTTGTCTCGCTACTTCTCATTGCTAAGCTTTTACCATGGATTTACGTAACTCATTTATAAAGAAAAAAATGAGCGCACAGCTTTCATCGAGTGCGGTAAGTCAAGTATTAAAAATTCACCTTCACGGGGACATTAAGCGTAAGAAGTCTTAAGATAGCGAGGTGTAAGTCTTCGCAATTCAATTACACACGACTTGCATTACGCAAAAACAAGGCTGTTGAGGAGGAAAACAGAGGAGTCAACGAATCTCCTGACAATAGCGAAACCCAACGCGCGATATCGTTCTCATTATTATGTCAATTCTATTAAACGTTGCAAAAATTGATATATGAAATATCGTATTCATTATTTATGCAAATGAGTTGAAATCGATCCACTTCTTCTTATTTTCCATAAATGGAAAATGAAGGAGGTGGGCGAACGGTCCCCGGAGATTGCTAGAGGAATCGTCGAGTTTCTCTCGTTCGTTCGACTTTTGTTTCCACCTCGTCGTCTCGAACGTCGGCTAATTTGAACCAATTCCAGTTCCAATCCATTTGCATCATGCACTGTCAGCTGTAATAAACATTAACACACTGACCGATGAAATTATTGGCGCAATGCTTCACACAGTGTTTGATAAATCGATTCATACAGCGTTTCAACTTTACGATTGATAGAATATTTCATAAAATAATTCATATAGCATTTGACACTGTGCGGGTAAAAGTCACGGGGGAAACGCGAGCCCGTGGAAAAAAGAATTGGCGAGAGAAAATTAGATTAAAGTCGCAGCGGGTTCGTCCGCGAATTCCTTAAAAAGTCCATTCTCCGGGGATCGTCTCGTCTGGCGTGAAATTATTTTTCCTGGCCGGCGAAATCGTGTTCCCGTAATGCGATTAGCGTGGAATCGAATGGTACCGAAGGAGGGATGAAATGTCCTAGAAGAATGCGTAACTGAATATTAAGCTGGGATCGAGTTAAAAGAGAACGGAGCGGAATACGAGGTAAGGTGTCGGGCTATCCGAGCTTTAAAAGAAAGCCCCGCTGAATTTGCTCGCTAACCTAATACATAATACAGGGAACGGTCTCCGTGCAGTAGTGTCTATTCGTCTTCTCTCCGGCAAATTCGAGAGTCTCACTGTTGAAAGTGCAAGATAAACGATAATATTGTGCAACCGCGCATAATCAGCCAGAGAACAGGGACGAAAAGAATAGAGTGAGAGTCTCCGGCGGTTGGCAGGATGCAGCCAGGGAACTGTTTCAAGGATAACTAGTCGAATCGGACATCCTTAGAAAAGTTTTGTCACAGTCTCCGCGGCAGCAACCGTGATTTGTACCAAGCGTCTCGACCGTTGCGATTTTCATAACGAGATATTACGAGATTTCGAAGTTCCATTTTAATTCCTCGTACATCCGATACAATTAACGTTTGATGCATTTACGGATGTATAGGCTATACATATACTTAAACAATGCTGGCATG